GTCTTTTTGAGTACCTCGGAATGCCTTTCGGCCTAAGCAACGCTGCTCAAATTTTTCAGCGTTCTGTTCATGAGGTTACACGAGGACTCGGGGTTAATCATTACCTAGATGACAAACTCATCGCCGGCTCTCCTGACGACAAACGCCTTCGTCATCTGGACGCTATGTTTCAACTCTTGACGCAAGATGGAGTTACTGTAACCTGCGACAAAGGCGAACTTGGCCAAAGCTCCATTGACTTGCTTGACCACCGAATATCTGCCTCTGACGTTGAAGCCCTGCTAGAAAAAATTCAGGCACTGAAGGACTAGTCTGCTCCCAATTCCTGCAAAAAGCTAAGTAGAGTTCTGGGTTTGGTCAATTATTATCGACGCTTTATTCTTAACTGCGCGAAGATTATACAACCTATGACCGACTCGCTTCGCGGTAATCGACACTCCTTGATCTTCCCGGACGACGGCGGACCATCTTCCGTGAAGCGTAAAGACGGTATCTCCAACCTAGCGCATGTCACTCACCCAGACACAATTGCGCCGCTTTCACAGCTATCGCCGCAACCATAGGCCTGTCATTGCGGTCCAGTGGAACCGACGGCCTCAACTGACTTCACCACTTCACGACCCACTATCAACCTAAGTGTCGGGAACCGAAACCCCAGTACGCTTTCGGATTTCGGTAGCGTGTGGTACTGCCCATAGGGTCAACCTAGCATACTTTACGCTCGCAAAATCTTTTCGAAAAAGCACAAAAGGACTAAAACATCATGGAGCTACCAAAAAACGCAAACCTTTTTGAAATCCCAAAAACAGCATCGATGTACTTTGCTGTACTTTCTTTTATGTATTGCTATGCCTTTACGCTTCTCTTACTCATTTTGCTTTACATATACATCGTCTGTTGGCTGCTTCTTGGTTTCACGCTTCGCTGGATACCTGGATACTAACTGGAAGCTTAACTAAATTGCTGCTCAACCGGCTACATGAAATTACGAAATGTCCCTCAAAAAACCTTTTCTGTTTTGACCACGTAGGATGGACACAGGGGGTGAGCCCGTAGGGGTCCGATTGCAGGGTTTTCCCGCAGCACCTGCATCAGGTTTCACGACCAGGTCTTGCAGAAGGCTATCAAGCGAAGGACAATCCACACGTAAAACAAAGACTGATTTCACAGTCCTTTCTGGGGTGGGCTATATGGCAGTCTGGAGATTCCTCGGTCTGCTTGTGTAAAAACTAACATTATATCCTTGTACACCTTGGCAACAGATGCGGGTTGTTGAAGTGGTTTCTGCGATCGCTTGCTTGAGTTGAACAGCGACATTTTCGCTTTGCGCCTGCTTCGCTTGCGTCGCGCGACTGCCCTATGTGCTGTGCATTCTCTGTTCTCCTAGCTAGGGAGTCAACGCTGTTGCATTTTTATAGTTTTGCAACGGGCCCCATTCGCTGTACAAATAAACGTTTCCCTGTAACCCGGTCTGCCTTTTGAAACAGCTCTCGATGATCTTGCTAAAGGCTACTCACTAACTATGTAGTGGATTTAAGACAACTCCTAGACTACTGCATAGGAAGGAACGAATCAATGCCATAGAAAACTTACGTTTACTCTGACCTTCAGATGTGACCGGCTGGACTAACTCCACAGATAATTCACACTCCCTGACGGCTAAGTCGAAAGAGGTAATCTCCGTGTTGGTTCCACGAAGTCCATATTTTTCAGGCACAGGCGAAACAATCTCAAGACCGGATCGAGATTCTAATCAACCTGATTTGTGCCTACTGTGGTGAGCGTACCTACCGATACGCTAAGCTAAAAGTTGACTATGTCGCTTATTAAGCTTGGAAGGTGTACATAAAAGCTTTTCAAGTGGATTTAATATATGTGGTTATATAAAAGCTTGTGGATTTTAACACTGCTCTTGTTGTCCAAGTGGAAAACCAAGTGCAGTTACGTACTGTGGCGTGTCATTGGAAGCTGTCATCATGGTGGACAATCTCCATACGTTTAATCGGTTGGTGGGATTATATTCGCGAACATTTGCGGACATGGAGCAGGATGTGAAGCAATGTCAGCAGGCTACTGCGACTACCTTTTATAAGCGGACAGTGGTTACTGGAAATCGGTACAAACGGATGACAGGGGAGGAGTTCGCATGGAAAGTATCCATACCATTATGCGCAGTGCCAGTGTGTGCCTGGTAAGCGGAGCAACGTTCGTGGTAACGGTATGGTTTCTATTGATATGGCTCCATAATGACCTACTAGTTATGGGAAACGGGACTGCAAAGCCGGGTGTTCCTTCGTGTTGACGGGTGATTATTAGGAGCGTGGTGAAAGGGATCTGCAGCATAATAATGCTTTTCAGTTGGGTTCGCCGTGGTTTCACCCCCGGAATCTTCACTTGACGGAAGCTGGGGAGCAAGTGGTTGTGAGCCTTATGTCAGCGTTTAAAAGTACCCCTGAGATTCGTCGCTACATCGACCAGAAGCATGGGCGTGGGTTGACGTTGGAAGACAAAAAGACGGTGACAAGGCGTCGCCGGAAGCAGCAGGCGGGGGAGGTATGCGTGGTGACGGAATACCTGGAGAAGCACGGCACATGCCGTGTAGTGAGAGAGGGAATCATAGTTAGGTATGTATTATTCGTGCCCTCATGCATGGAATCAACAGCTGCGCGGTATTGTGAGGTGATGTTAACGGATGCAACACACCAGCTGAATTAGTGTGGCTGTATACTATGGCACAGTATGTTAACAATGTAACCGAAAGTGCCTGCTCATATTTTACGCGTTGTTTCCAAATGGGACGACGCACATCTACAGACTTGCGGTGGAAGCTATGAAGGGAAGGTTGCCTTGAAAAGCGTCAGTGCAAACACTTGTTATAGACAAGCGCTTTGCGCAGGTTGGCGCGCAGACGTCCGCGTATCCCATCGCTGCGGTTATCTTTTGTCGTTTTCATTTTATGAGGGAGACGTACCGACGACGTGCTCAACTTGCTGGCCTAGGCCCCGTGGTGAGGAATCTACTTCGGCAGTGCTTGATGTTCTTGCTTTACATGCGTGATGGGGCCATTTATCAGGATCCTGAGGGCGACTGCAGGCAAAAGTAAGGAATTGTACCGGTACGTGGGGCGTACATGGGTTCGATGGGCATCATCATGGGCGGCTCATCGTCAGCGTTCGGTATGTTTGTTCGGTTGCGGCACGGCGACCAGAGTGGAGGATGAAAATAAACATCTAAAGAAAAAGTTAACAGAGCACTCGTCGCTGAGCTCCTTATGCACTGTGAGTATTGAGCAGTTATTTCGTGGATGCAAGACCGGCAATTGGGGCTCGGGTGACACAGTGCAACGCCATAGGTTTCCCCTGTTTACCTGTTCGTAGCTACCCACATATCGGCCCCGTTTTATCCCTACGCTCCGAAACAGTTGTTGAAGAACTGGAGAAACCCCGGGATAACCTCGTTGCATGATGCCGGCGCGCACTGGGTGGTAGAATGCACCCGTGGTTAAAGGAAACGGTGGTATCAAGGGAATGATGCCTCTTGTGAATGTGTATTTCATCTGCAATGGCGTGTGCCATAGGCGCACATGTTCTATGTGATCGCCAGAAAGATGAATGCCTATGGCCAGTATCCTAAGAGATTGCAGGTGGAATGCTCCACGCCGTCGGCCGGTGGACTTGTCCCCAGAGGCAGCGGGAGTTAGCGATGTGACGTTCGCCGCGGCTGCAGATGTGCTTGAGCTACGTGAGGTGGACAGGGCGACTGAACTTTGCAAGGCGGAGGTGAGGGCAGAATTCAAAACGCAAGTTTGCTGCCTTGGATCGTCGCGGCATAACACCGTACTGAGGATCTGAATAGGTTGGCTGAGGTGTTATGCGCTGATGTGATGTTTCTCTCTATTGCACTACGCGACACTGTAGTGATCCTTCAGCTGGATGTGGATTACTAGTACCATCGGTTAATGGGACACGCGTGTCACAGAACGGCAAGATGTGGACTGCCAAGTGATGCGCACGTTCCTTGCAGCATAACGTTGCTGTACGTGACGCGCGGGGGGAGTTTTGGTCGGAAGTCCACAGCTGAGAGAATGGGAAACCTGCGTCGCTTGACGCTAGCAAAAGGTAATCTCCAAATCAACTGCGAGTGACCGGACCTTGTGATTACCGTAACAAAAAATTGTGTTGTTTCGGGACGTTCCGTGGTACAAATGGTACATAGCAACGTGGTTACCTAGCGACGTTGCCAAGGAGGATGAATGTGCAATAGGTGGAAATAGCTGAGTGGTGTGTGGGGAAAGTGATTGTGTGTCAATTATGATGCCATAGAAATGGTCACCAATGATGGTGCGAATGGATGCTGTGTGTTTTATTATTTCGGTGGCCATACTTGGTTTTTCCGCTATCGCTATGTTTGTGAATGATAGTGAGCTGTTCAGGTCTTGGGTTATTGGGAGGTATGAAAGTGTGGAAGACATGGAGGAGCAATTGCTACGTTTTCAGATTGAAACGGCGACTTGTTTTTCCCGAGTCACCTCTATCTCTGCTGCGGCGTATCAGCGTGGAAGGCGAAAACAGTTGCTGGATGGGGACGCCTACGGTTACATCCTGTACCGTTGCGTGCATTGTGAACGTTCGGGATCGCGTGGCAGGCGGTAAGTTGATATTTGTTCCACCTGGAGGCTAACGCCTGTAGATACCAATCTTACAAATGCAAGGCGCGATTCTCCGTGGTATTCAAGGATGGAAAATATGTGGTGCGAAGTTACTTCATGATCCATAGTCATGATTTCCACTTGGGTAATCCGTGGCTGTATGCTCGCAATCGTCGGCTGTCTCCTCTGCAGGAGAAGGAGGTTCTGCGTTTGATGGATAGTTTTCATAGCACACCTGACTTGCGTCGCTTCATCTATCATGAGTACGGCAAACGTGTGACCCGTGCGGACCTGAGCAATTTGCGTAATCGTCATCGAAATGCGACGTCATGTGAAGTGTCGGAGGTGGCAAAAATGTTGGAACGGCACGGTGCTTGCCGATTGGTGTCTGAGGGCACTCAGATTCGTTATGTGTTCTTCGCTCCCTCGGTAGTTCGTGGTATTGTGAAGCGTTATGGGGAGGTTCTGTTGTGCGATGCGACGCACCAACTGAATTATGGTGGATACATATTGTGGCACTGCATGTTCGTGGACGTCACAGGTCTGGGGATTTCGTTTTTCTACGCCCTATTACCTGATGAGACGTCATACAGCTATGGGCAAGCGGTTGAGGCGATGCGGGAGATGGTGCCTAGCAGCATACGTTGCAACACTTTGGTGATGGATAAGTGTGCTGCTCAGTTGCGGGCGTTTAGACGTCATTATCCCAACGCGAAAGTTGTGTTTTGTCGGTTCCATGTGAAAGCGGACATGGCTAGGCGTTGCGGTCGGATACGTTGGATCTCTGATGGTCGTCGAATGCAGTTGCGCGCGTGGCTTCATAACCTCATATATACACGCGATGCGTCGGTATTTGAAAGGATATTGAACGCGGTTCGGGGTGGCAATCCAGAATGTTACCGCTATTTGTGCGCCACATGGCTTCCACACGTAGACTGTTGGGCGGCTCACCGACTAAGGGATGTTGTCCTTTTTGGATGCCACACCACCAACAGGGTGGAAAACGAAAACAAGCATCTGAAGCAGTATTTGTCCGAGAGGTCATCGTTACTAACTCTGTTCACCTGCGTGGTGGATAGGGTAAACAATATCGTGCACGAAAGGAACAGCATGATAGCTAGGCGGTGCATGAGCTTACTTTCGGTTCCATCGGAGGTGTCCTCAGTGGCTTGTGTCTTTGCACAGCTGACTGATTTCGCAGGCAATGTTTTCCTAGCTCATTTCCGTGCATCGACCGTTCTCAGTTGTCGGTCTGATGGCCCATATTGGTTGGTAACCTGCCCTCGTTCGAAAGTCCGCCGAGTATACATCACACAGGGCAGTGAATGTGATTGCGAGTTCAGTCGGCAGTGGCGGCTCCCCTGTGCTCACATTTGTTATGTGGCTTCGCTTCACGAGCACTCGGCGAAGGCCATACTGCATGGATGTCGGTGGATCGCACCCCGGCAACCTCCCGCAGCCTCCTCAGACAGTGTTGCATCGGATGGCGGTGTTCGGATTCGAGACCAACAGCAAGGGGATACCGATGCGGTTGTAAGCCGCAGCATGAAGCTTCGCAAGACTCAAGATGTTTTGGCTGACATTGGCACGCAGTTGTGCAGTTATGGATCTGATAACTTCTCGGCGGCTTTGATGTACCTGAAAATGGTTGCGTTGCTGATGTCAAAGGAAGCCAGTTTTCAGTTGTATGCTCGGACGTCCAGGTGCCCTGTTCCGCTTCATTTAGATCAGGAGGCAAACGTTCGGATGTTGTGCGGGTTGTCTACGCCGGGAGGGTCGCATGTTGGCGCAGCGTCGGAGGTACCCAGCACGTCGGAGGTGATTGTGCCTGCCCCGGTGGAAGTAACGCATGTAAATGACGTCAGCCCTGAAATTGCCACCGCGACACCTGGTCCATCCACCTCCACAACTGCGTCGAGGAAGCGCAAATCGCCCCTAAAGTGCCGTGTGATGGAGGTGAGCCCCAGTAAGAGTGCGCTAAGGGGCAAAGACTTCCGTAAACTGCACACACGCACATCCTCCGGCTACAAGGTCCCCGTGAAACGGAAACACCATACCCAGGGTTTGGTTTCAGAGGATCTCTGCGGAGTATGTCAACAGGAGGATGATGTGGAAAATCGCGGGGACTCGGTGCAATGGGTGATGTGCGATGCGTGCTCGAAATGGTACCATGCCTCATGTGTGTGCTATGCTGGTGATGAAGAATTCATTTGCTTTTCATGCTCAACGTAGTGTCTGTGGCAGCTGCATGAAGTGCGTAGCATGACAGGCGCTGCAGGTATGCAAAATTTCCCTGTACTTTTTATTGTGCCCATTTGTGTTATTGCAGACGGTATTGAAGTGTGCTGCAGATATAAAAAGGTGCGAATGAGAGGTGAACAATGTGGGGGTACAGGTGCCTCACGGCCGAAAGGTGATGCCAAGGTAAGCTTGCATTATGCATGTTATGATCCTTGATTTAGACTCCATCATTTCGAACAACGGTCTACGGACTTCCACTTATGGCCTGCACCGTACATAAATGGTCGCAGTTCGGGTTCCGTTTGCTTGATGTGAACGTTCAATCATCCGTCCTCACAGGTAAGCAGTGTGATCAATGAGGAATGTTCACATCACAAGTGATTTGACATGCCAAGCCCATTGCCTTTTGAGTTTGCACCGCCACTGAGCCACCTCCGACGCATTGCCTCCTGCATGTGAAGCTTCATTCATCTGTCCTCACAGGTAATCAGCGTGATCAATGAAGCATGCTGTTTCACAGCATAGGTAAAATGCAACGCCCATTGACTTTTGACTTTGCTCCGCCACTGAGCCACCTTCGACGCATTGCCTACTGCATGTGAACTTTCAATCGGACTTCTTCATAGGTAAGCGATGTCATCAATGACGAATGCTGTTTGCTAGCGGAAGTGAAATGCCACGCCCATTGCCTTATGAGTCTTCAACGCCACTGAGCCACCTCCGACGCATTGTCTCCTGCGTGTGAAGCTTCATTCATCGGTTCTCACAGGTAAGCAGTGTGATTAATGGTGACTGTATTCTCACAGGTAGATTGATATGCCACGCCATTCCCTTTTGCTTTTGCACCGCCACTGAGCCACGTACTGCGCATCGCCTACGCCATGTGAACTTTCAATCGGACTTCCTCACAGGTAAGCAACGTCATCAATGACGAATGCGGTTTCACAGGTTAAGTGATATGCCACGCCCATTGCTTTTGGAGTTTGCACCGCCACTGAGCCACCTCCGACGCATTGCCTCCTGCATGTGAAGCTTCATTCATCGGTCCTCACAGGTAAGCAGTGTGATCAATGAGGCATGCTGTCTCACAGCATAGGTGAAATGCCACGCCCATTGCCTTTTGAGTTTGCACCGCCACTGAGCCACCTCCGACGCATTGCCTCCTGCGTGTGAAGCTTCATTCATCGGTCCTCACAGGTAAGCAGTGTGATTAATGGTGACTGTATTCTTACAGGTAGATTGATATGCCACGCCATCCCCTTTTGATTTTGCACCGCCACTGAGACACGTACTGCGCATCGCCTACGCCACATAAACCTTCAATCCGACTTCTTCACAGATAAGCGGTATCACGAATGATGATTGTCATTTCACAGGTTGAGTGATATGCCATACCGTTTCCTTTTTGATTTCGCAACGCCGCTGAGCCAACTCCGACGCATTGCCTCGTGCATGTGAAGCTTCATTCATTGGTCCTCACAGGTAAGCAGTGTGATCAATGAGGCATGCTCTCTCACAGCATGGGTGAAATGCATCGCCCATTGCCTTTTGAGTTTGCACCGCCACTGAGCCACCTCCGACGCATTGCCTCCCGCATGTGAAGCTTCATTCGTCAGTTCTCACAGGTAAGCAGTGTGATCAATGAGGCATGCTCTCTCACAGCATAGGTGAAATGCAACGCCCATTGCCTTTTAAGTTTGCACTGCCACTGAGCCACCCCTGACGCATTGCCTCCTGCATGTGAAGCTTCATCCATTGGTCCTCACAGGTAAGCAGTGTGATCAATGAGGCATGCTGTCTCACAGCTAGGTGAAATGCCACGCCCATTGCCTTTTGAGTTTGCACCGCCACTGAGCCACCCCTGACGCATTGCCTCATGCGTGTGAGGGTTCATTCATCGGTCCTCACAGGTAAGCAGTGTGATCAATGATGACTGCATTCTCACAGGTAGATTGATATGCCACGCCATCCCCTTTTGATTTTGCACCGCCACTGAGACACGTACTGCGCATCGCCTACGCCACGTGAACCTTCAAGCCGACTTCTTCACAGGTAAGCGGTGTCACGAATGATGATTGTTATTTCACAGGTTGAGTGATATGCCACACCGTTTCCTTTTTGATTTCGCAACGCCGCTGAGCCAACTCCGACGCATTGCCTCCTGCATGTGAACCTTTAATCATTGATCCTCACAGGTAAGCAGTGTGATCAATGAGGCACGTTGTTATGCAGCGTTGCCTCTCCGTTACAACGGTTTGCAGCATAGGGATAATAGGTCGCCGTAACACGTCCATCTGGTGTAGCTTGTCTTTTGTTTAGCTCCATGTCTTCGTGAACGACCCAACGGCCCTTTTCAGGGCCACCTCTGTTCTATGTCCTGGCGTCTCCCCTACACGGGTTGCAGCGCGGGGAACCTACAAGCAGTGGTTGGGTCCGTAATCGTCGGAACTGAATTTTTGTACACCAGCTTTGGAACGTTATATGTAATGTGATTGAAAGCTTCAGCTTCACATGAGGCGGAAACTCCTGGGGGCAATGTGACCAAAGGCTGGTTTCAGCAATCCCACCATGCGGTTAGCAGCCGTAGGTTCTTTCCGTCGGGAAGCCCATACGAAAAGAATACCCTGGGTAGTGATACCCAAGTCCGTATCGGTTGTAAAACTATGTAGGATAGACGCCCGTTCTCAAGGCTGCACTAACCATTTGTCCGTGCTCTCCATTCCTTGGTGATGAACCATGAAGCAGGTCACACAGGAGTCTGGGATTTTTGGTTGTATGGTTTAAGCGTCCCATGTGTGCGTGATCTTTGCTTCCCGTCGTCGGACAGGGCGTACATGGACAACAAGTGCACTGCATGCAATACCCCAGGTTGCTAACCAATTGTGATGAGGTATCCCTACCTGTCGAGTTGTTTTGCTACAACAGGCACAGTAACGGTTTATCACGGAATCAGTATGACACCGATGACCGTTGATGATGATGAATGCAGTCCGCAACAGCGAATCCAATTACACGCACGGGCTAATGCAGTCTAAATAACTGCGGCTTCTTCACAGGATGGGGAGATGGCTTGTGGCATCGCAATTCATCATGATGATTAGTAATGGAGATACACCCCATAGCTCTGTGCGGTGGAACCTTGATGACTGTTGCGTCAACTCATGCATCCATTTAACTGCACGTGTTCCTAAGGTGCATGGTAAAGAGCCGCGCGGTGTTCTCCCACTTGCCGCGGCGGATACCGTAGGTAAATAGGTAACAGCAACCGCGATATCGTAAGCATCAGTGTTCGGAAGTACGCAAGCCAAATCGCAGTTCCCAAAGTTTTGCTTCTCATATGTGATGCATACTTCTTAGCTACTCACGGGAACCACACCACTTCTGTGATGATGTACGCTTCGCAGGCACATATTTATGCGCAGCCCATTGTTCCCTTGCCAGCACCCCGTTAAGGTGAATGCACATCAGGTCTCTGCACTGCTGATGCCTTGTGAAGTAGTTAATAACCCTTTTCAGGTTTTCACTTTATTGGGTAAATAGCGGTTCAGCAGATACCCAGCGAGGTGAGGAATATTTGTGATGTCTTGAGACATCATATGTCCATGTGGCATCAACTTGTCATGGTGCATTTAAAATAAGCCTTCATTTTACTTTCGGCTGTAATACACAAGTCCCAATCATTACCGGACGACAATCCGGGGAGATGCACTGCGGTGTATGGCCGCATACGTTATTGTGCGCGCGCAGGTTGACCCCTAACTAATTGTTAAAAAACTGCTAGCTAA